ATGATCTTGTACGGTCCCTTCCAGCCCCTAACACCTATGAAAATAACGGCCAGGTTTCCAGTGTGATGGGCATCATACAAACGGATGACATTACCAAATGAGATCCTGGCTGTTGGTCCTCCATCTAGGTTCCAGCGGTACTTTTGTGCTGTCCTAAAGCCAAACATTCCCGCTGGATCCATCTGTCATCTAGGATACTCTTTCTTTCTTTCTGTAGTAACTTTGCTATGCAGCGTTAATACACTACTGTGTTACGTCTCTTCGGCTGCGGGCAAAGCATCCTTAGCTAGTCGAAGACGGATACAACTGCAGGCAGAAACCTGACATTTGGATGTGCCAATGGGAGTGCTGTAAAGGCAAAAAAATGGATGCCTTGGGTTTCTAAGAGCAGTGGCAAATGACTCCATTTGCAGAAAGGTTAATGTTAGTCCCACCACAGATACAACTCCCAACAGACCTGACGCTCCGTCCCCTGCTCTAAATCACAGGATCTTGTTGTCATCCACTAAACAGCATTGTACAGCTCTTCATTTCCTTTATCCAGTCTTAGTTCTGAAAAAAGTAGTTGCTTGCTTCCCTTCTGATGGCAAGACTGGGGCTGCTTTCTTGAAATGAAACCATGTCTTTTTCCTTAGTGATCGCAGTAATTATTCCAAATGTACACAGCTAATGTCACACAGAACAAGCAGCAGTTTAAAGGTAACACGTTTCAAGGCTGGTTGTCAACATCAAAGTACTGCTTGCCTCCAGCAGCTATTCAGGACTTTGACATATATGTAGTGCTAAAGGAGGTGGCTGTGGCCCAGAAGTGGCAGAGCATTACAAAAGCGTCTGTTTGAAATGGGAACTATGACACAGCAATACCTTCTGTAGCATAACCTCTAAGGGGGGGGAAGGGACGGAGAGCTTCTGACTCCATGACAGCCTGCTGGGGATCAAAGGTGCAACCCAGCCAGAAGCGGGGGCTGCATCTCTGCTCACCAAGACAAGCTGCCAGAGCCTGTGGCTGCCCTGGCTGGGGGCACTTTCCTCTCCCTATTTGTTCACTGTACAGGATACCCTGGTACCCAACCATTGTTTTGGATCAAACCCCTTTTTCCCCCCCAAGTGCTGCAGCACCAGAACAGACACCAATGCAAACAGTTTGGACTGCACCTAGTAATCTGAATGTTGCACATAAACTGAACCAGCTCACTGAATTCATGCTGGGCTGAAAGATGCATCCCTGCCCCCCCTCCCTATAACACTCAGTCAGAGCGTCTCCCAGCCCTCGGTCCAGCCATTCTTGCTCACCTGAGTTTGTGTCGCCTACAACACAACCAAACCAGGGAACTGGGTAATGCAGGAAGGCTAGGACCTTGGTCCTTTCTCTGGAGATTTCTAATATGCCACTTGGGGGGGGTGAGGGGAGTTATTCATTTCCCTGCAGGAGTCGCTCTAAATGTCACTGGGCTGAAGCGCAAACCAAGGCCTCCCCCTGAACAGGAAACGTTTAGTCTCCACAAGTGCCTTAACCAGATAACACGCAGACCTGTCCAGGCCAGTGGCAATTTCAGGCCCCCTCCCCGCCAGGCATCCATCATCAGGCAAATGCTATGTAGCAGCAAATCTGCTCCCCACTTTGCCCTCACAGTTTAGGTGCAGAAGGGAAGAGGGTACAGTGCTTTCCTGCCCAAGTACAGAGAAAGTCCTACAGGCTTTGAACTTGGTGGGGTGCTGTTGGAGGCTTCACAACTCTCACCTGAACAGGGCTCCAACACAGGAGCTAAAGTCTCAAGGGAAAAGTGATGAGAGTTTTGTAGTGCTCAGCCCAAAGCTGGAATCTGGTACCCTGGCCCAGCTCGCAGACCGTCCCTCGTCACTCCCAGTGTTGGCAGAGAGAGCCATGTCCTTCTCTCCCGCTATCCAGGTAGGAGCTCCTTTTAACTTTTTTAATGATTCATGGCATCCTACTTCAAAGAATCTGTCCGGGGATTTAAGACTTCATCATACAATCCTGCCCCTTGTCCAACACCAGTAAGAAACTGTTGCATGTACAGCCCAGATCCACGAGGCTGGAAGGTCATTTAGTCGAACCCCGTGCCCGAAGGGAGAACTGGCTGTTCCAAACCACCCCCATGCTCCAAAGCTCACCCCCCTGAGGTTGCACATTTCCAAAAAAGAAAGGTGACATGGAAGAGCATGCATTTTTTTTGTGTGCGAGTGATAAGGCCTTTAATGTTCCCCTGGCTGGACAGTGAACTAGGACAGTGCGAGCAGAGGACAGTGTCACCAATCACTAGTACAGGGTTCGGACAATCAGGCAGGGCCAAAAGGAAGATACAAGTGAAGCATGCAGCTTGCTTTAATGCTCAACCTCCAGCAGCACCCCTCTGGTCCGAGAGTGAACTTCCCCATGCTGCATCAGACAAATGGGATCACCTCAAGGTCCCTCCACAAATGCCATTTCCACTGCCCTCTTCTCACCCCATCCACGCCTTGTGTGTCCAACCAGTCTCTACCATTTTGAGAGTGCCATTATATTTAGAAGCATCCCAGCCTACTGCCTTAGCAAGCCAGCATTGCAAACACCCACCTAGTATATATACACTATCAATCTCCCAGCTGGGAGAGGAACAGTAGAGCTTGTCATCTCAAACAGCACTTCAGGGTCTGGTAAACAGACGCACCTGCCAGTCTTTCAGCTTTTAAGATACCCTGGTTTGACACACCATCCTCTTAGTCATTCTCCCGGAAGTGGTACGTGCTCTCACTAAGCTATACACTTAGCAGCTTCTGTTATATAACACAACCCTCCTCACTCCGAAAACCACTGCCCCGCAAGGCACACGTGGGGCTGCACTAGTTCTAATCTTACAATGCACGGTGGCAATATCAAGCCAAAGGAGGAGGGTGGAAGAGGGAAGGAAAATAAATCATTCATTTGGTGACTTTGTGGACAGCATCTGTCATTCAGGATTCTGCAAGGGGAGGGAGTTTCTCTCTGCATGACACTTTAGCACTTAAGCCAAAGGCTGGGAGTTTCTTATTCTTATATCACCATCAGTGAACTGCTTTTTCAATGGGCTCCACCTCTGCCTCCTATGCTCCAAGGGGCCCTTTTTCAGTGCTCTAACCTAGCGCTGGATGAAGGACAGGTTTTGTTCTCTTGCTGAAGGCTAACGTTTCACTTGCCATTGTCTCTCACAAATCCATTTCCACCTGGAAAGCTCAGTGGATTTCATTATTATTCCACTGAGCCACAATTTCACAGTTGGGTTTTCCCAAACAGGAAGCCAGCAGGTTTGACTATTGTTTTGATGTGGCCAGTTCTAGAAAAAAGCCAGAGCAAAGTTGACCTGAATCCAGGAATCTCATTTTATAATAATGGTCTGAATATCTGTCGAAATAGAGGCATTCTACTTAGCTTTTCCTTGTAGCCATCTCTTCCTGTCAGTTTTGGCCACCCTTCAGGAAATTAGAGACAGCTAAATGGAAAATCTTCTCTTTCCCTCTTTTATTTTTAATGTGGTCTGGGCTCATTTTTCACCTACAAATTAATCTTTAGCGGCCTTGGTCTTCTTATCGACTCAAGCGAGAGCAGGTCTTAGGTGAAGACGAACAGAATACATTCGGCATTACTAACGTCTAGTTAAATGGGAGCTTTGCCTGCGTAAGGAAGAAGGAATGCTGGCAAGTCCTACAAATGAATATTTTTTTTTTGCCTGAAGTTCACAGTGCATTTAGCCTTTATGGTCCACCAAAAGCTTTAAAAGCTTGTGGAAGAGAAATATTTGTGAATAACCTACTCTGCTTATAGTACTTTACAGCTAGTGATTTCTCAGGCCAGGATGCTTTCCTGAGTAGGGTTACAATGAGATAGGACCCGCTGCAATAAAGTGCTCCACTGATCCAATTTTGACAGGTCCAGCACTTTACCCAGAGAGCAATTACAAAGAGAGAAAGAAAAGAAAAATGGTTCTTGGCCGTGGGATTTTATTTGCAACCATAAGTGCGACCAAAACCAGTAGCATTTGTCTGACGGTCATCTCTTTTGCATGCACGACTTAAGCTACATCACCACCACTATCACCACCACTTTAACCTGCATTATTTAGCCTGAGCTCTTCAATGCCTGGCAGGGAACCTCCCTCCACCCCCTCAACAACCCAAGGTCAGAAACAATAATTCCTTCCACGTTACAGAGATGGAATAGAAAATTAACGTCTTTAAATAGATTGTTTTTATTTACTTTTAAAAACATATTTTAGGACTCTCTTTTCAGGAGTCAAAAATTGAAAACCAAATTATTTAAAGAAACTCAAAAGGGAAAAATAAAATGGAATGAGATGACCAGTGCAAAGGAGGCCCAGGGCTCTAGAAGCCACCATGCCACGTGGCCAGCACCAATTCCGGCATGCCCGCAGCCCACCCAACGAAGAACCTCTTGGAAACCCAGCCCGTACTCGAGACAGAATTTTGGCAGATCACACTTTTGGATGGATTCAGCTTTCAAGAGAAGAGTTTTTAAAGTAATAACAGAAGGAAAATTCTGTTTGGTTTCTTTGTGATACCATAAAAGTCCTGCCAGAACTGTATTTGTCCAATCTAGCATTCCTTGCCATTCGCTCTCATCACCATTTTGCACCAGGGCACAGGGAAAGGCTACCAAATCAGGATGGTAGTGCTTTGAATCCACTCTGCGTTGGTGCAAAAGGTAATACAGGACTGCAAAAAGTAGGCGAAAGCCAAGTCCCTTTTCACAGGCATGTGGCTGCAGTGAAAGTTGGTGGAAGCTGCTCTTTAAATTCTGAGAAATGCCAAAGGGACTGCCGGTGGTTCAGAAGCTCTCAGGATCTGGCCCAGCACAGCTGTAACAATCACAAGACCAGCGTATCCAATTCAAGCCAAATTCATTCTGTCCTTAATACCACATTTATTTGGCTAGAACATACAATGTAGCATTGAAGAAAAGTCAAACTAGTTTATTGCTCTTTGTAAAAATGCACTTGACTTACGTCGTCTGTTTTCCTTTCTTTATTTGGCTGTTGTACCATATGTATAAAAGTGTTATTATGTCCGCCCATTTGTTCAGTATCTAACAGTTTTTTTTTTAATCCATTCCTGACATTCTCCTTAGTTTTACCAGACAACAGCCTGAAAACTCTAGATTTACATAAATACTGTAAGTGTCTCCATAAATTGCAGCATTATAACAAAAGATTTATCAAAGTAGACAATATGTTCGGTGTTCTTGGTTGGTTGTTTCTTTCCCCCTCCCCCCCCCATTTTAAAAATATACCTAAATTTGAGATAATCTTAACAGAGTAACAATTACAATAAGAAAATATTACAGTGCGTCGACTAAAGGAATATTCTGCTTTCCTTAAAGCCAATATTCCCTTTTGCATGTTGAAGTGATTCAGCAATTAGGAACTTTTACCTACATACAATAATTTAGTAAAATGAGAATTAAACAAGGCAGATACTTACTATTCTTCTTCTGTCTGTAATTCACAGCTCATGCGAATAAAATCGCAATAAATATTAAAAAATAGTTTTCTTTTTCTTTTTTTCTGTAAGGCATCTCTGAGTATTACAAAGTTTTTGTACAACCAAAAAATAAGATCGCTTTCCCTCCCCCCACTGTTCTCCAAGTACCGTGCGTACCTCGATAGTAAAGAAGAGGACTGCAGGTCTGATGGTGGCAAAGGGAGCTGGGGTGGGGATAACTGATGGATGGGGGGATAAGGTGAGGGGATGAGGAGACGACAGACGATGGAAGCAGACCACTAAGTGTGCAAGAAACTGTAGTTTTCCTTCTAACGTTTCAGAGACTTTAAAGTATGTCTTCAAGATGATCCATGTCCAAAAACTTACCGGGAGTCCTTCTTCATGAGTGTAGCCAGATTGCAAGGGTTCAGGTTTCCCCCTTAACACTATAAATAGCTTCGGTATTCATATGCACCCAACAGGATTTCGTTTCTTTTCATTCATTTTTCCCTTTGTTTTTCTTGGGGTTTTTTTTGATTTTTTTGCTCTTTTTGTATCCTTCCATGGTAAGATTGTCCTATGTGGTAGATGCCTGGGCTGGACCCTTATTGCATGCGGTCAGGTTGCAGCTGTTGGGGCTGATACTGAACAAAAGCAGTGGTGGGTGCTGCTGGATTGCTTGCTGTGAGGGGCGGTTGGACTGCACTTGGGTAGCCGTATCCCACAAACCCAGCAGCAGGAGAGGCGGCGTAGGGGTACTGGTCGTAGGCAGCTGTGGTGTACTGGGTATAGGCTTGGCTCGCAGTGGCGTAGTCTATGTAGGGAGACGTGATAGACTGCACAGGGGTAGGGATGACCATGCTGGGCTGAATGATTGCTTGAGGATAAATATAGTGAGGAGTTAGCCTGTGGAGTCAAACAGAGAGAGTCAGTCAGGACTGCCCCTCTCCCCCGATGCAAGCGTCGTGGTAATGGCAGCAGTGCTGCCTGGCAGTACTGCCCTTGCACTAGGAGTAATTAGAGGGATGGGGGGTGTGGAATAAAAGAAAGGCAAAAACTGCAAATGGAGAGTAGCAGAGCACAAAGGTGACGCTTGACCTACAGGCACTAAGCTAACACTCATCCTCCCTCTGCCGTTCCTCAGCTCTCAGGCCACTTCCACCCCCAGATTTAAATGGGAAAGTAACTGGACTGGGCTGCCTGCTCCGACAAGGTGCCTCTCCAGTGTCCTGTACTGTTGCCTTGTTCACGTGCTCAGAAATTTTCTTCTCCTAGTTCTGGGGCTATTTCTCCGTCTCCTTTAGCAACTCTTCTTCTTTCCCCTTTCTAGGGCATCATCCCCTCACAACAGATCTCACCTGCCCCCATCACCTATTTCTGTCCAACCGCTCATCCAACAGGACATGCCGAGTTGCTGAAAGCTCATGCCAACAGCATGGCCTGACCTCAGCCTGTTTTCCCTCCTCCTCACCTCATTTTTGGTGTCCCCTGGACTCCTCCTACATATGCACCACAGCTGTCAGCCACATTGCTTCTCTCGCCTGCCTTTAGTCATCCGGCTCATCCTGCTTGAGCCAAGAGCCTTCTTCTCTCTTGCCTCCTCATTACCCAGACTGTGCCCCGCCAGGCTACCACAAGGTGGTAAGTCATGGTGCACGACCCCCATCCAAACAGGGTCTGCAGATTTTATTTACCCTCCATATCCGTGTGCTGTTGCAGTCCTGACCTGGCCTGCATCACCTACCACACTTCCCCCTAGCAATGCTGGCCTCCCCATCTCCCCTTTGCCTCTTTCATCAAAACCTTCACCCTCCTCCCATTACTCAAACACTCCCAGAGATGCTCTCCCTCTGGAAAGCCCATGCACACAAAGACAGTGCTAGGTTAACACAAGGGGTTAAAAAGCAAGCCGCCCCCCCACCCCCCCGGC